TCGAGGGGGGGGGATGTCTAGTTAAAGATCCTAGTTGTTGGAAGAGTTATTTTTGAGCTAGAATGGGAAAAAGCAGGAAGTTTCAAGTCGTCGAAAGCGTTTTTCCATAAGAAAAGGTATAAATCTAGATCTACTTGGACATTCGTAAACAACGTATTAAAATAATTTTTCACAAGACCGGGGACTTTCATCTTTTAAATCATTTTCTTCGCATGTTACACGTCATGGACTGTTTAAAATGTGCTAGAAAAGGGTTCAAAGTGCCTCTGTTATTTTGGTTTCATTTCGGCAAAATGTCCCTCCTTAAACCATGTAATTTTAACCACCAAAATTTTCAGCATGATCTACCCTATATAGTCAATCACTGTGCGCATGAATACATCTCATCTTCTGACAGTCGTTGATTTGGCGCATCTGAACCCCATGCGTTTATCATAGTGCAGCCAGCGTGATGTTTTCAGTTCAATATCAAGTTATACCTTTTTTTTTTTGAGTAAAAAAATTATGTACGCCTGGATATGTAATTGTGTGTTTGTTAATATGCCATTATATGATATGTTCTCTTTTTACAGAATATCCTCGAACAGTTGAGTTTACGTTTTATACGAAAACATAATAATATAAAGTTACGTGCAAATTTGATTTCATAGCTACTCTGTACTATAAAATACGCCACTTTTCTTAAAACAATCAGAGTATTGAAGTCAGCATGTTCAGCATTGATTTTGCAATGGAAATAATAAATATGTCATTTCTATGTAATATGAGCCTGTAGATACCAGGTGCTGTGTGTCAATAAAAAAACAGAACATTTTGAAACTGTTTTTCTCGTAATTTGGGTTTTACACATTGTCTTACGAAATCGAGTATAGTTTCAAAATAATCAAGACACTTTATTTTAAAGGGACCTTTTTTTTGTATTAAATTTCCAACAAGAACACAAGAATACTATGTCCTTAACTCAAAATTGCAAAATAGTCGACACCTAGAACTTTTCTTCAGGCACCTACATATATATTATATATAAA